TTAAGTTGTTTGACAACTCTATATTCAATCTTATTCCCCCCCCGCCCTCACGCACACACACACACACACGCTCAGCTTGTGCGTTTTATCTTTCTTTTTACTTTTTCTTCACATTCACTTACTTTTACTTTTCTTCTGTCACCAGTTTGGACAAAAATGGTCAGAAATTGTCCTGCAGATCTACAGTATAGTTTGTCACCAAAATGTTTAGCTTTCACAACGCTGCGCAGTTGGACATAACCATGGGAATCTTTTCAGGGTAACTTTAAGAACAATTTGGGCTTTTTAGTCATTGCACATTGCTACTGAAAAGGTTCCATTGTAGTCAGGTTGAAATGTCCAATTCATCTTGTGAGCCCATTAAAAATCTTTACACCCCCACATTACTCTGACTTGCCTTTGTCGTTAAATCACAGTTGTCAGCTATAAAATCTGCCAGATACTAGTCAACAGAAAATCATAACCCATAAATTACCTCAGTAAGAAAAACACTTAAACATGCTTCAGGCATGACGGTGACAACCCCTGTTGTCACACTTTCTGCTGTGGAAAGTTTCACTATGCTAATTCTCAACTTGCTCTCAGTGCTGACAAGTCCGCTTCGCACTGGAGGATTCAGGCCGTCATTCTTGTTTCAAAGACTTTTGCCCTGTCAACCGGTGTCACTATTTGTGTAATAACTTACTTTAAGAAATATTAAAACACCAAAAAAACATTTCAATGACGGGCTTTTTAAATAAAGCAACCCAGCAGCTAGTGTGATAATAACAATAGACGGATTAGGGCTTTTATCTTATACAATGTCGTTGCCTGTATAGGAATCATAATGTCCATCAATTTCTCTGTTTCATGGTAGCAAAATGGGGGAAATTGTTTCCCTATGCCTTCGTCACTGGACCGCACCTGAGGGTCGATGGGGGAGGGACGAGATGGCTTAGTATCGGGTTCGGCGTGATGATAGCTTCTGAATTGTGCAAGCTTTATTGGTCCCCTGCAGCCTGCCCGCGAGTGTTCGTGCTTCTCATCCCTCCTGTGTGTTGCATTGAATATGCCTCTTCAATTGGGGTCATGGCGCAGACTGATGGAAAGCCATATTTCCTCATGACCTGAGGCAAAGAATTCTGTTGAGAACCGCGGCAGAGTGATGGAAGGTCTTAATATAAGATGACTGACGAACCAAAATAAACATTAGATAACAAGAAAGGTAAAATGTAGGGCCGTCAAATGATGGAGAGTTGAGAGCAGGAAGTCGGTAATTCAACATGTGGAATTCTGCCTCGGAGGTGATCAAATGTGTGTAGTTTTTTGTTTAAAAAATACAATTAGACAACAATGTCTAAAATACACGCTTTCTAAAGTGCTTACTTGTTACTTATAGGAGTCTATAGAAGAAAAACAAACTCTTAATCGCAATTAATCAGGATTCAAAAAATTGTAAATAAATTTAAAATATCTTTATTTATATGGCAGCCCTTGTAAATTCCATTATTCCCTGAATCATCTTTTAAAATCTACGGTGACGCAGCTACTTTAAAAGCTAGCAAAAATAAAATTACTATCAACTTTTCTGTTTTGGTATTTAGGCAAAACAATTCCGGCTTTATTTTGCATTTATATTTGTATTCAACTGATACTTTTAATCCAAAATCAATCATGCAGCTTTCTGGGGCTTTTGATCGTATCACATGACCTTTAATCAGCAGAAAATAATATAAACAAACTGTGATCATCATAATTCTAAAGTTTAAATCTGTGATAAGGTGCCAGTCAAATCGAATACATTTATTTATCTAGGCCCTAGAGCAGACTGGTACTGCCTTCGATCTCGAAGGCAGTACCAGTCGATCGCGTGCCAGCGATAAAAAACTGACGTCACGTCACGCATGCGCATGGAAGAAACTAATGCTAATGCTATCTAGCGATACTTGCCTACTAACGGAAGCATTTAATTTAATTCCAAAGCAACCCAGGCTGACAGTAAGGTAACGTTAATGACCAAGAATGTGCCTGACGGTTCCCTCCTTCTGACAGATGAGAGGCTCGTTGTTTTCTTCATATCGACTCGTTTTGCGCTCAGGCAGCGCTGTTGTAGGTAGTTACCCCCCCCAGTATATCGCCTGTTATTGATTTAAAAAAAACCACGTCACGCATGCGCGGTCGACCACAGGAGCTAACGAAAACTAACGCTAATGCTAACTAGCTATCCTTGCTTCTAACGGACGCATTTAATTTCGTTCAAAAGCAACGCAGTGCGATTCACAGAGGAATGTAATGACCAAGCATCTTTTTACAGATGAGAGGCTCGTTGTTTTCTTTTATATCGACTCGTTTTGCGAGTTCCGTTCGGTTACTTCGTCGGCCGACTGCTACACTAACCCCGCCCCGTCGGCCGGTCCTCGGAGGGTGGTGTTGGGTTGCCATGACTCGGTCAGTTAGCTCGCCGTAGCTGAGCGGTGGGCTGCCGTACTGCACTATGAAGGGAGATAAATCCAAGCCTTGTACCGGGTCTTAGCGGCTGTCTTGCTTGTTGGCCTCCGTTAGTCCCTTTTCCCCAGATCATCCAGGGATTGATGGCCATGCCAAAGCAAATACAGAGAAATCCATACCACTCTCTTGCCCTTTCCATATTTCATTGATTTCATGGTGAAATATCAATCTGCATGTGTCATGTACGGATGCGGCGCTCACAATAGAACAACACGGTAAGAAGTAAATCAACATAAATCTACCCCAGGACAGCGTGTTATCAAGTTAATTTAAGAGGCCTATTTTTTTCTGTCAATTTCTTTTACGGAGTCAAGTGAAGAGAACAGTCAAATGAAAAATCTATCCAATCCATGTGCTGACGGATTTTATTCATGAAATAAAATCTAAATGTATCACTGCAATATTTATTTGCGTGCTATTTGGAAAAGTGTTTATGAGTGGAGATGTGTATATAATATATATATATATATATATCCAATTTTATTACATAAAATCACAACACAGCTGGTGACATAGACACACCTTTGTGTAGGTAGCCGTATTTAATCCACCCTAAACCTTGGGAGCAGTGGAGTACCACTGGAGTCCAGGGAGTAATTTGGGGGCCCAAGGTGACCTTTTCATGCAAATAGGAGGTTTCTACTTCTTAAGATCCCATTCAGAGAGATTCAGCATGCATGAAAAAAGCAAAAGTTACAGTGCTTATTTCAACGATAAGGGCAGAAAGTACAATATGGATTATCGTTCTTTGGACAGTGTTTGAGAAGAAATAGATTCCGTTCGTTTGGCTTGTATACAGCAGCCTGAAGGTTTAAGGGCTACGAGAAGAATGGAAATGGGGGAGGAAGGAGAAAGACAAAAGGGAAATGAGTTACGGAGGAGAGCAGGATTCAGCAACAATATCCTTTCTGCTGCAGGTTCACATATGTCAGCACTTCAAAAGTTTTTCAATTATTATTTATCCCACATCCCCCCCTCGAGAGCTTCAAATATTCATTTGATCTAACCTTTTATTCTGTGCCTACCGTGAATCACCCTGGATACATGCATTCTTTAAAACCCATTACAGTAATTAAAGACATGTGGATCCCTCTAAATCGAGCAAATGGAGAACTTTCAAGAGGAATCTAAGTTAGCAGTGCTATCAGTGTCTTTGTTTGCCTGCTACCATTACACAGCGGTGGGATTAATCTGTTATACAGTTGTTGACAGAGGAGTCGGTCAAATAAAATTAGATCAATGTTGCAAAGACAAACCGGCAGACCAAAATCATTATTTATCGACAGTACAGTAGCACATGGGTTACATAGAAGGCCAAATATGAGACTTTAATAGATAGTACATTATGTCAGCGCTGCTGCGAAGGATTTTTTGTTTTAGAATTCAATAACTAACTAACTTCTGGTTAAATGAATTATTCTCATGTCTTCACTTACTCGGGCGTGTTCTATCGATTATTCTCTTTGCCCTCTCTTCTCCCTGCTGTTTTCAGGAGCAGTTAAAACAATGTTTTTGAATTAGTATTATTTAAATTTCATCCCTGATAGTTTAACAAAACCAGGCCACCCACGAGAGTTGTGAAGGATCAGCTGAAGTGCGTTTCACTGACATCAGATGCAGGTTTGAATTAACTCCAACTGTCAGTCTGAGTTGGGTAGTATTTTGGGCCGTTACATTTTACAGCTGCACAGTTAAAAGAACCTGAAAACATTGTGAGTGGTGCATTGGTCTGTTGTGACTGCGAAGTCGCCTGAAATCTATTGACCCCCCCGGGATAAAGAAGCTCCCCAAAAATGTTTGCTTTTAAGTCATTTTAGCAAACGTGTGGTCTTAATGTTGGAAGTAACTTGTCATGTGACTGAGACGAGCATAAAACCACTTTTAGAATCTGATGATCACAACACAAATAATATAAATGATTCTTTCTGAGTGGCCGGGTACCAAACGGCCCACGGACTGGTGCCGCTGTTGTAAGCGACATTTACTCTCCTTCTCACAGTGGAAATTGCTCTGCAATATCGCATGCTGTGCTTTGTATTAAATCCGGGACACGTTTCAGAGCCCTACAGTGTGGAAAATGTTTGAAATAGAGAGGAAGGTTATTGAGCTAAAATAATGGACAAACCTCAAAACAAGTCCATCAGCAAAACAAGACCGTGAACTTCTGGCTCCATGGAAACTATGGTTCACTCTGCAGATTACAAACTCAGTGTCTTTCCTCGGCATTAGAAACAGGACTGCAGAATGTGATACCTGAAATACGATCGATGTTGCAATGTCAATGTTCTGAAGTTGCTTTTGGAAATGCAACGAATGCCCTCAGGAGTGTGCCTTTTATGCATGTTTGGAAATGGTTCTATATGAGGAACTAAATACAACAAAATAATGTCTATAATAACTATAAAACCAGGCAAAGTGCAAGACTCACAGTGCTCTGTGATAATGTCTTTGTCTATCTATCCTCATCAGATCAAATTCATCCTCATTTGCTTTTCTTTCTGGCTCTCTTACAGTGTGTGTCCGTAGCTGTGCAGCGTTCGGAGCCCCAAACTGTGTGTGTGTGTGTGTGTGTAAACACATTAGTCGGAGAGTCTGGTACATGCACCGTATGTGTACATGAGACGAGGAGAAGCTAAGTGGCTACCACAACCACCCGGATCAGACAGCCTCCTGTGCTGTAAGATGGATTAAAGGCCCACACCTCAGGAGATCAAAGGTAGGTGCAGATGTTTGGTAATCGGGCCGCCACTCACCTGCCATTTTCAATGACCCGCCGCAGAGAACGAAGGGGAGAGAGCCCATAACAAATGCAATGAGTTTAGGCGAAGGTCTCTTGGACCGTCATGCCCATAAACCTCCTCATGTAATTATTAATTCTAGTTCATACTGAAGTTATGTATTCAACTTTTTTTTATATTTTCATTGAAATTTATTTGAGTACACATAACATAAACACAGCCATTGGGAATCTGCCCTGCACTATGGACTTTCTCCATCAGTTAGTCAAAATTCATGCTGAATAATTGGCAGTGCAGCTACACTGTTATTTGAACTGTTTAACTGTGGATCAGACATTACAAACATTTACTGTCTTTCAGTTTCCGCAAAGATTCGGAAGTCCCCAAAAAATTACCATGCTGAATGCAACCTAATATGTAAATGTTAATATTTTGTGCATATAATTATATGCACAGACATAAAAAAAACTGATTTGAATGTGATCCCGTATATAGAGCATATTGTGTTTGACTCAAAGTAAATATCTTTCGCAGTCACTGAATTAAGCAGTGCAAAAGGATAATCTACTTTTGACAGCATTGTGCTGGAAATTATGGAAAAGGCGTGTTATAATTTTGACAATACCAAAAAAACATATCTGGGTTAAAGAGATTAATTTGATAGAAAAGGGTCAGCAATCTAAAACATCCGGACGGACCAGTGAATAGCTGCCAACAATCTCCAATTGTTCTTAGAGGTTTCTAAAGGGTCTGGTGCTGAGAGAATTAACCAAGCCAAGAAAAACACACTTTTGCTCTTTCTACTGTGATTGCTCGTCCATCTAAAATGATATATTTATACATATTGTTTCCCTTTATAAAGGAATTGGTGAATGTGACTAGACCCGGAAAGCTTTCTGAAATACTGAATTAGAGGCAGATTCGACTGGTTAAAGAAAAAACAAGAACAGTGAGAAAGAGGGGGAATGATTTCCCCGCACGCACTGAACATCACACGCCGATGACCCACTTAACTGAAACATCAGAACAGCTTCCCAGGTTAAGTTTCTTTTAAGCAGCTTAAAAGTACTTCCTGCTACATCAAATGATTGTCGTCACTGTTACGGGATCTTTTCTTTAAGGCCAAATTGGGTCCAGAACGGTGAACATTCTTTTCTGTGAGCGCCACAATGCGTTTTTTTTTTTCACAATCCCAAAATGCTTTACTATTTACTAAAAGCATAGCACTTGCATGTGAAAAAAAAAGCTGCTTATTGGACTATAATTCAGCATAGTTTGTGTGAAACGGGATTATTTTTTAGCCGAGAGGTTTTCAAGCATCCATGTAAAATGAATTGCTTTACATTTATGTGTTTTCTTCTCCTGAGTGGTCGTCAGTTACTTTCCCTCAGATACCTGTCGTACTTTTTCAAGAGTCATATACATGTGTATATATATATATATATATATATATATATATATATTAGTGTTACTTAGAACAGGACGTGTGTGTGTGTGTGGATTTATTTTGTAGGGTTGAGGTTCGCGTGTAGTTGAAACAATCCGACACAATTCTACATTCTAACAAAAAGTCCAAAAATGGTATGCAATGGTCAGGCCAGGGCCATCTCCTTAACTTTTATATGACCTCCCATCATCGGGTTCATCAAATACTGCAGCCTGGTCATTGTGCTGAGCCTCAAATGCTCTACCAACATCTCTCGCTTCAGTTTTGTGACCGCAAGTCAAGTAAGACTTGTTACAACATCGACAGGGAATTCATACGGATGATTCCTGATTCTTCGCTGTAGCATGTAATTCAAAGTCTCTGGTGGCTCTTTGGTGGCTGGAGCCCACAGATGGCCATCACTTGTCCTCCTCTCCTAGTCATTGGGTATTAACAGTCTTTTAGTCTTATCAGGACATAAACACATTCACAAAAATAATTAGAGAAATGATGTGTCATGACCTAGATATGTGTACTAGGAATAGTAGAAAACACGTCTCCACTTGAAGCTTTTCAGATACTGCAACAAAAGATATCTTCACCACAAACACACTCACATAAACACGTGTACAAACTCCAAAGTAATGCCACTGATTTGGCCCGTGTCATACTATAAACACTTGAAAAAAAACAACAATCCATATTCATGTGCATGATAACACGCATTTCACCACAGGCTGCTTCAGTACGCTGTGAATACAAATTCCATAACACGCAGTATGCTGTAAAGACATTGAATTTCTCTGAGGCACCGGTGCCTTGTGAAATTTACTGGCAACAGAACTTGACTTTCGGCTCGAGGAAAGTTGTTTGAGGGGACGGTTTCAATTTCATTGCCCTCATGTGCAATCTTGCATGAGATGCAAGTATTGAATATCACTTTTGAGCAGATGGTGTATTATGTCCCCTCGGCGGGCATCAACCCGCAGCATTCAATATTGCCACAGGGTAAATCCCTCTGTGGAGCCTTACTGGGGAATGTTGAAGTTCTTTTGTGATGTCATGCACATCAAATATTCTTTGCTGCATTTTGTTTGCTGCATCATTGATTCTCTCTCCATGGCGTGTAGTCGATTCCTCTTTACATGCTTAACAGACACACAGTCTGATAAACTCCTGCCTGTTTACCAGAAACAAGTTTTATATGCATGGTGACGTGTGTTTATGTATGTGTTTTAATGAGTTGTTTGTCTTGGTGTGCTGCCGCTGTGTGCTGCTCCTGGACCACCTGTCTTTGGCGTGGCTTCTTTCCTGACTGCTCCTGAGAAGTAGAGATAAGGCTCAGCGATGTTTGTCTGCTCGTCGACAGATTACTGAGGCAGTCCGCTACAAGGACTCCGGCAGACAGCTGCTGTGTACTCGAGGCCAAGGAATAACTTGTCGTGGGATGCCTAAGCTGACCGCAGCACCAATCCAGCCTGGACGCCAATTTGGCCTCTTTTAAAATGATGTGGCGGCTCGCCTGATTAATGTCGAAGGAGAGGCGTATGTGAGTCAATTTAGGAAAGTTTCTTTAAACTGAGAACTAGATGACAGTGAATAATCAGATGCTAATTTGCAGATTTACCTTTGATTTTGATTGCAATTTAACCATTAAGGAATGTCATTTTATTCATCAGCATATCAGAGATTTACAAAAAAACACATGAGACGCACTTAAAAACTCCATTTCAACGTGTTATTTTGTCTGTTATTAGGTTTGAAAAGACAGGTGGTCCCTTTGAGTTCTAAAGATTATTTCATGTTTAGTTACAGGGTAAGTAGGAGGACTTTTTTTTCTGAGAGACACTTTAAATTACATTAAATTGCAGCCAAAATAGAGATTTCGTTTTTCAAACATTATTTCTGTGTTCAATAATAGAGTAAAGGAATATGACAAAATATCAAATGTGACATTTTCCCTGATAATGAAACAAATATCTAGCAAAAGAATAAATGGGGGTTACAGTTGTCATTTGTCTGTGACACTGACACAGTACAACCATCATCATTTGGTTTGTAAAAGCCGAACCGCATACTCATTATCCTTGAAGGCTGCTAACGTAATGTCGATGGGTTTCTCCCCCCTTGATGGTTACGATGGTTGTTATAATCCCGTTATTTGGGAAAAATCCGCAAAACTCACAATCCCAGTATGTGATTGTATGTTTCCCTTCCCTTAGAGCACCGGGCTGTGAACATTTGGTGAATGATTAAAGCACATAGTTTTTGTCTAACTGCCTTATTAGGCCTTGTCTGCCTCCTGAAGAACATTTTTCATGTTTCTTGGACATGAAATGGCGTTACCTCTTTCTGCTGAAAGCGGCTAGAATGGGAGGTTTGGTTGGAGATAATGGATGTCATCTGCATCATGTTCTGCCTGCACAGGTGTTTTTCCCTGCGCGAAGGCTCTTTTCCGAAAAGACTGGTTGAGAGAGTTTTTTTTTTTTTAAAGTGCATACGTGTCGACGGGCAGCAGGCAGCAAAGGGGTCAACACTCTACAAACTGGATTATATAAAGAATAAAGGGAAGGGGTCAGAGTCTGAACAAACAATGATATATGGCACACACAGATTTGAGGAATTCTTTTTGTATTATATGTGTGCATTAAACATAAGGCCATTAGCAGGCTTAGTCCATTTTATCAGAAATGAGCTTTTTCCATCAGCCGGACAACTCCTACTCGGTTATTTAAAACTCTGTTGTTGGCAGATGACTGCAGTCTTGCCTCGCTGTCTGCCTCGCTCTCATGCAGACACAGCTGGTTTCCCCCCATTGGGTTCATGGTTTCTGTTTGATTGACTCCTGTTTGATCAGAGCTGTTTGAATAGTTGTCTCAATATTTCTGTGATCAATTGCAAAGATTGTGTGTGTGTGTGTGTGATGGTGGCCCAACTGGCATAATATACATTTTTTTCATTGCCCTCAACACCATGGAAGACAGGTTTTTCCACATGCTAGACAGCCCTTCTGGAAAAGGAATTTATTTGAAAGGAGAGACGTACGAGCAGGAGCAGAGGACAAGGCATAATACATGATTCACCGCAGTAAGCCTTGGCTCTGTAGCACATCCAATATACATGGGGGAGAAAGCGTGCAGGGGATCCGAGGGTTTAGAAAAAGTTAAGAAGCAGACTCTTACAAGGTGAAGTACAGCTTACCAAGGGATCCCGGCATATTAGACAGTGTAACTTCTATTGAGTCACTGACATATTTGCTGAATGACAAATGATTTATAAAAGGAAACCTCTGAAAAAGCTGCACAGCTCTCTGCATTTGTATTTTAAAGGGGTGTAGAACGGATGTTTATTAGAACCAAACGCTTAACTCAGCAGGCAGAGATATTTTTGTAGACAGTCATATTGTTGAAATTCACTCCGGGCAAAAATACCTGGTTGATTGAGTGATAAATGTATTTTTGATGGGTCGGTGCAGTGGGCAAAGTCACCGCAGCCTCTACGGATACCGTCCGCACAGCAATTAGGGGCAGCGGCGTGCGGAGACGTGAGAGG